CCGAATTTTATTTAGCGTACAAAGGTCAACGACTTCAACACTAAGGTAATCTCAGACCCCCCCCCACACATAATAAGCTTACCACAGTTTTCCCAAATACATACTTCGAACACAAACAAGCCAATGAAGATCAAAACTCAACCACTTTAGCTGCTAAATAATTATGCATTTTCGAACTCCAAATACGCAGTCTTTGAAATTAAAAATAGTAATAGATCTCACGGCCCCAAGAAAACTAATCAATAGAGAACACAAAGGCTAAAAAGCGAAAATACTATTTTAATCCAAACGTACATGTATATTCACATACCATCGGCTAACATTGGGAAAGGGAAGGGGAAACACAATACAAAAAGGGCCAGGGAAAGACCATAAATGGAAGTCAACTATATACACGAAACGGAACAGAGGTAGATAGATTAGGCAAGGGTAGTTCACATTTTCTGATTTCTTCCATTTTAATACATACTCAAGCATGTTAAGAAGTAGCGGAACTTTAATGGCGAAAGACAAAGGTGGAATGTTCAAGCACAAATGTGGCTACTAGGGTGGAGGTCTAAACTGTTGCTGAGACCCCATTCCAGGTGGAAGATGAGGAGAATGTCTCTGCTGTTGGGGAGACCGTCCACGTCGTTGAAGCTCACTTTGCCGCCGAGCTAATTCCTGTTGGTAAGCCATAAAGGCCGCAATCTGAGCCTGGGAGAAATCAGCAGCAGCTAGGGGATTTCGAGGTATATTAAAAGGAACACTAGGGGTAGCAGTCTGGTGAGGATGCGGGGGCCCGACCTGATAAGCAGACGAATGAATATTAGGATAAGGGAATTGACCTCCCTGCAATCTAGTCATTATAGCTGCTGCAGTAGTAGGATCAAACTCGTACGGAGAGGAACGAACTGGGGGGATTGTTGAGGGGTGAGAGTGGGGGGTTGTAGTTGTAATAGGATTAGCTGGAGCAGGCGGTATTCTAGAATTGGCAGACCAATCCACAGGCTGTGCCTGCGGTGGATTTTGAACTGTTTGTGGCGGTTGCGGTGGTTTCTGAGGAACGACAGTAGGATGTTGCCAGGAGGGAGGAGTAGGATTTGAATCTATAGTCGGCTTCGGAACGGTTATTTTTGGAGTTGCCGGAGCATCATCAGAAATGTCAGAATAAGCAGGACTGGCAGTTGGTGGATGATCATTACTTAAGGGAACCTGTTCTTCGCTCACCGCCGGCCCACGATCTAACGTTGGAGGAGGAATATCATCATCATTGCTATTACTTTCTGGTAGCTGAACGCCATCTGTGGAAGAAGAAACCGCTTTTGCAAGTTGTGGAGCAGAAGGAGAGGGAACTGTACAGGGAATTTCTGGTTCTTGAATAGCAGATTCTTCTGACTTATATTCCAATTTGGTTTTTTTCTGAGTTCTATGTGATTGCTGAAAGTGGCATTGCAGACACCGATAATCGGTAAAACGTTTCCGACATCCCTCAAAAGGACATAGAATAGGAAGACCGGTCTCCGGTTGAGGATTATTTGAACAGGGTGCCTCATCCTCTTGATTAGATTCCATTCCATCGGAAACCAGATTACCCGATGAAGACGATATTGGAAGTTGACCGTACCCACGACGTTTCCTGCGACCTCTAGCTGAAGTCAAAGGTCGACCTCGACTTTCTGTAGGCCCTGGATTGGAAGATCGGGTTTTAACAGATCCAGCGGTTCCTAAGGGTCCCGAATTCCCTCCTACAGAAGTTGACGCAGGATTCCAACTAATCTTGTTTTTAAGACACGATAGTGACGTTATCATCTTGCTAGGGCTGAAATAAATAAATAAATTATCAATATTAGTTTAAATACGAAGGATAACATCAGATGCAACCACGAAAGTACCATGCCAAATTTAGTCCGTTTTTCGTAAAATCCATCAGTGTACCGACGTAAGACCGACCTCGCCAATTCACATCCACACAGAGCATACCTAAGTAAGATAAATTTAGTGAGTCGTGATCTTTCTCAACAAATGCAAACTGGCAAGAACAAGTCTCAAAAAATCGGCTTTAATTTTACTATCAGGAAAATGTACCAGGGGTTTCCATCCATACTGATCCAGTGAGATTGATTTTCGTTCCGGGCTCACAAGGGCCAAGGTGATCTGGTTCCACTGAAGTTGCATTATCCATGGTCGATACAGAAGCGTCTCTTGGTGCGGGGCCTTGTGTATTATAATCCACAGCCTTAGAAGAGGAAGAAAAAGAATTTGGAATGTTATGATGATGATGAGGCGATAATACACGAATGGGACTCGTTTCATCATCCCCCGGAACAGAGGAATAAACGGATGATGGCGACATTCGATTGACGCTGCCATCTTGCATGGAAGAATTTAAAGTATGTGAATGCGCATTCGTTCGCCTTATAGTTACTTTGAGAGGTTTATTTACAGAATAGGGGGAACTCCCATTATGGGCGCCACCGCGATTTCGATGGGCTCGAGTTTTCTTTCGCACTTTTGCAAATGGCTCATCTGAATGATCGAGCTTTGGGGACTCAATGACAAATGTGGGTGAAGTGCAATAGGAGGAAAGGACCTGAGAACTAGAACCTGTAACTGAGGGTGTACAATTTGCGATTCCCCCACCTAATCGTCGTCGCCGGCTCTCGGTGGACGATACAGATTCCCGTTCCTCTGAAGAGAGCACTGGACTAGCGGAATTCGATAACTCAGGTGGCATAGACGTTGCAAAAACACCAGGGGGAGCCATAGTTATTGTAGACATGGTGCCAGATGGCATATCGTGTTTGCATTTGTTTCTGGAATTCTCTTTAATTGAATCGATTGTCACCCTGAGGCTTTTTTTAATTTTAGATCACACACGTAGTAACAGAATAGAGCATATATAATCCCGTAAAACTCAACGGATAAACGCGCGACAATCACGCAGGTGGAAAGTGTGAGCGTGTGGGACGTCACTCGGCTTGCCTATATACGCGTCTACCAATTCATTATGGCCTCCTGATTGGTTCATAAGTCAAGGCTATGTGCTTATTGGTCAGAATTAGAACAGAGGTAAGGTAAACAGGACTTGGTCGGAATTTGATTGGATTGTAAGAATCATGTCCAGTTTGTGGTCTTTCATATACATAGAACAGTTCCACGCTCTGACGAATCGTGGTTAATTGTTGGAGTAGTCCTCCCAATCATTTATTCTAAGTAGTCCAATTTAAAGAAAATTCCTACCAAATGCTATAAGATTTCTACTATTCAATATTAAATCACCGTCTGCCCAAATGTTCTCTTAAAGTGAAGCACAGAGCTTTGTAATTGCAAAATGGTAAGAATTCCGCATATCTGGTAGAATTTCCCCCCTTCAGTGTTAAACTGCAGTGGTCACATGAGGACTGTAATATGAAGGTGTCTATTGCCTAAAAGTCAATTTCTTCCCGGGATGAGGAACAAAGGGGTGGGGGAGACTCGGTGATGACTCATTATGTTCTGAATGACATGCGGATAGTTTAGCATCATCACTGCCTCGATTTTGTGCCGCTATCATGCATGTGCAGCACTTAATTCCAGCTGAGTTTGTATGAAAAGCTTCCATTTTATGCACATCATCCGGCTTGTTTTTTAGAAGGGTGCTTAAGAGCTTACTAGTTAAGAGGTTTTTAATGCGAATTAAGCTCACTAGTTAACCATCAATCTCTTTTCATTGCTTTAAATCGAAATATGTCACTAATTCTTGTGTAAGCATTAAGCTAGAGCCATTAAGCAACATATTTCAAAAAAATCGATTTACGAAGAAATTAGTACCTGTGATGAAGTAGGTTAAGCAGTAGGATAAAATTCAATACTTTAGAGATTGAAATAAAATGCTTATGTAGAAAGCTAGGTAAATGAACCTTCTCATACAAGTCATAAGTTAGGATTATCTCCATTTGTAAGATAGCCTCTAGTTCAAATGAGGTCATGAAGGCACATTGAGATTCGGATAAAAGGTGAAGTTCAGAGGTAGTGGTAAAATGTATTTTGGGGAAGGGGGGAGATTGGGAAGGTGAGTGCTAGCAGTCAAAATTCGCGTCAATCGCTATTTCCAACTAAAACTGATTGAATGACAATCATGATTTCAAATTAAACTAAATAAGACTTCACAAGCTTTATCGTTTGAAACAAGAAAAGAAGTAAGAAATAATCCCAAGATAGCTTGACTCCAGCAGGTTTAAATGCTCAAAATCAATGGATATGTAATTCAAATTCAAGAAATTCTAGCTTAAAACATCTTGAATATCCACCTCACCAAATGCCATATGATCGCCATCATCAAACTCAATTCTAAAGGAATCAACTAATAGAGTAAAAAACAGGAACCATTGTTGCACAACTGTAAATTTGAAAATATTCTAATTTAAAACGCATATTTATTTATTTTTATCAAGCTTTGGCAAGCTTAAAACACCTTATGGTTTGTATAAAATTACTAGTATTTAAATTAACTAGCAATTAAATTTATTACATTAAAAGCAGTTAATACTTACCTTCCCTTCTGCTATTAGCATTAATACCACTCAGGTTTAAAATCGCCTGTATCTTCACTCGATATTCAATCAATGGCCTTGGCACTTGAACACCGTTCTCAGAATTTATCCAATCGATTTCTAAGCTAAATGAATAGGGTTTGATTGACTGTTCGAAGTAATGGCTCACGTATCTATGGTACACTCAGAGAACGGGATAGTACCCTACCCTTCTCTAGTACCTATGTCCACCTGCAAATGTTAATTGTGGTTTCTGGGGTACTGGAAAACCTATAATTTCTCTACTCAAAAGGGTCTATTACCGACAGATCGGAATAAAGTTAGTCTCTTTGTGTTAAAAGATAATTTTAAGAGCTTAACGCTATATTTCGTTGCTTTATAAGCAGAATATTGAATAGGGTTTGCAGCAGTAGGTTTGTGCCTGTATCCAGCTTCTGAAAACGGTAAAATATGATTATTAAGCAATATAAATCTAACCTCTTGCAGGCACAACTTAGCCTATTTTTAAAAGGATTAAAGATACCTGACTGTGAAATAACAGCTGTATTTATTTTCACATAATTTTATGCAAAATCGATATCTGAATTGAATTAGGCAGTAAGTACAGATGTCTAATTATCCTAACTTGGGTCATATATTTAGTAGTTTAATAATAGAGTAAATTATCTCAATAAAATCTAGTGAATGAAAGTTTTTGATAGTGGATAATCTTAATTTCTGCAAAATTTATGCCCTTAAGCTCTTGTTCAATGTGTTACCAATTTAAATGAACCTATTGACTTTCACCAATATTAGGCATTACTAGCATGATGCCTTGATAACTGATAATATTTTAAATCGAAATCTATTACGGATTGGTCTTTACGAATCATTCCAACAATCTATGTAATATATTTCAATCAAAATATATGTTGTTTGACATTAAATTGTAGTGTTATATGATCATATCACGATGTATGAATATGTTCAACTGGTCCAAGCGAATGCTTAGATCGAGTATGATAAATTCGGGCCGTTTTCGCGTTCTTGGAAGAATGATTTTTTGTTTTTTTAGTATATCTGCAGCCAGAATAACGCCTTAAAATCTAGCTCTAACTCAAAATTAATCAAATCGTTTTCAAAGAGCTGATTTGAATAAGGCCTAAATAGTTCTATTTCCACGCTGGATATTTAGAAATAACACGCAGCATAGTTTCATTCTGGCTACAACAGCTGCGCGCACGCAGTGTGTTTTAGCGAGAATTTTATCGATCGTCATCAGCTGTTACCAGTATTAGCGCGGGGCGTGCGGTGTGAGCGTTTTTATGCGAAAAGCATGGTGCGTACGTATCTTCCACACATTGCCGCACATTTCTAACGTGCGCGCACGAGGCAAAAGGGTGAATGCTAAACTTGTAAAGATGCTTTAGCTAGCAGCCAGGCCTAACGCTGGCGATGACTAAGCATGCCCAGTCTACGATTAAGCGCGCCATTGCAGTGAAAAATGCCCTGTCCAAACTTGTGATTTTGCGTTCGTGTGTGTCTGTGTTAGGCTGGCAAATTAATCATTTCCTTTTTTAATTGCTTATAAAAAACTCTAATACTAGTACATCTTATTTTCGTGCGGTTACACACAATTTTAATAGCGTGATTTGGTGGCAACATATAGATAAAGTTTTGCAAATGTAGTTAGTATAGGAAAGCTTTTTCAGTCAGCTTTTCTACTTTCTCTTATGTTAGCTAACGTAAATGGCAAGTCAATTCTAAAGCTTGTAAGACGAAATATCGGTAAACTAGCTGATTGAATTTACCTAGGCTAAAGTAAAATGAATACACTTGTTCAGAATCCATGATGCATTAAACTTTACAGTGCGCTAGAGTAATTGAAATTAAACTAATGTCTACTTTTAACTCATTCTAGCACTAGGTACAAATCAGAAATCAAGTACTTAACACTTGACCTTACTTTTATTTGCCTTTTTTCCCAGTCAAACGATAGAAGAAAACCAAATGTAAGTTATAGAACATTGAATCCCAAAAATTTATTAGCACATGGCTTGATTAAGTGCTACTAATATTAAATATTGTGACAATGCTCATCATTTCATAATGGCTAAACTTTTATTTGTAGAAGGCAAAAGTTACTTTGTTGTCGCATTATCGATAAAGGAGTTACCGTGGGTGAGATCATACGTTATTAGAAAGCAATGCCATAGTAAGAAAGAACTAACGATAGTGTCTTTCGTTTTAATCAATGAAATATTGCCAAACTTTGTCGGTCTTTAGATTCAAATAAAAACCTAAACCAGTCTTCGCTATCTCAGATTAGTCGGCTTCTAGCTTTATTTTGACATATAAAATTATAAACTGCGATTATGGGAATCAAAAATGAAAAGAAGATGTGGTCGAGAGGGTAATTATTTATTAATGTCCCAAACTCAAACATCTGCCAACTTTGAAATCACGAATACATCACATATTTTACATAGGCAGTGATGTGAATTGCCTACTGCATGGACTAACATTAATTAGCATAGAGGTTAACAATTAGCAGCAACTTATAAACTATGCCTTCATTCAGAAGACCATGGGAATTAAAGTGACACAATTTGACAAAAATAAGGACTTGCGTAGGGATCAGACAACTTCACGACTTGCCTGTCTTTTTAAATGATGGTGAGGATACAAATTCAGGAAAAGTAAAAATACAATCATCACTAAACATATTACAAATTCCATTTATTTCATTTAAAGATGTCATTGGTCGTAAAAGCTGATTGGACGACTACTGTACCTTTTTGCTTTACTACAAGGAGGAGGAAAAGTGTGAATGAAGGTTTAATTGTTCCAGAGTTAGTCAAAAGAATAGCCTGAGTACTTAACATATAAGTACATTTGTACTTATAACTGAAAGCGAAGAGAATGCAAATGAAAAAAATGATTGTACAATATAGTTTATAAGGAAATTTGTTTTAAGGTATCATGAGCTTAAAAAGTAATAATGAAATTATTTCATACAATATGTGGGTATTTATTAAATTTGTACATAAATTTCCATTTATTTTCATCAACCAATCATGTTCCATGATAATGAAACCCATTAATCGCATGGAAATCTTGGCTTCATTAACTTGAGCCTTTGCAAATATGAGGGCGGAAATAGGTGCCAGCACTTAGGTCTCAGAAATGAATGGTTTGTAACGAAACGGAAAATATCGCAAGCAAATGTCATTATAAGTTAAGTCAAAGTTTTGATGTGGTTTAAAAGTTCAAAAAGCCCGTC